ATGACGTCACATGCACCTACCTGATCTGATCACGGCGACGAGGAAGAAGTCAAAATGTCGGCGGTGTGGTAGTTTTATTTTTCGTTGGTGAGGACGTCAGATTCCGAAGATTTTTGGACTACGTTGAGCCTCGCTACATCGTCCCCAGTCGGAGATATTTTTCCGACGTAACCTTACCCGAGTTACAATCCGTCATTTCCGACGTCTTTGAGAAGCTACTATCCGGTAGCACTTGGGTGAGTTTTACCACAGACATTTGGACGTCAAGTGTTAGCCCCGTTAGCATGATTAGTCTTACGGCACAATGGATAGACAAAAATTTTGAACTTAAAAAGGCACAAGAGTGCAGAGGATCCCACGCTGCAGCTAGGAACCTGGAACAATCCTCTACAAGTGAGACAGCATCGCAGGTGACTAATGCTAATAAATAACATTTAACACTTTTCATTTAAGTCAAAGTGCTATGCATATGGCTGTTACTGAATATACTGTGGACTTGCGACCTGTCCAGGGTGTACCCCGCCCCTCGCACAGTGATTGCAGGATATGGGCACCGGCGACCCCCGTGACCCAAAATGGAATAAGCGGGTAAAGATAATGGATGGATATCGGATATCGGCCAAAAATCCAATATCGTGCATCCCTACTTTCCTCAAATGAGGAAAATATACTACACCCCTCAATTTGTGGTTGCCGGTGGGGTGGCCAAAAGTTAATCTATGGTGGCCAAGGCCACCATTGGCCACCCCCTGGCTCCACCATTGCCCCGGTGGATGAAATATCTCCCTCCACTTGCCTGGATCTGTCTTTCTGCTCTGCCTCGTACAAGAAAAAAAAAAAAAACTCCCTCTGTTCTTCTCCACAGTGCAACTCCTAACAACTTCAACATCTTGCAACAAAAACACTTAGGTTTACTTGCATTCCCTGTTTAATTACAGTCTACAAAGAAAAAAAAACATTTTGAAGACTAAAAATATGCGCTGTTCGAATCCCTCAGCAACGGGGTACATTGGCGTGCCTTTTGTTTTCCATCCTTTTTATTGCACTCAGCTGCAGCTTCGGCCGTTTTGTTTTTTACGGCGGGTTGTAAGAGCCGAACAGCAAGAACTGGAGGGATTAATTCTAGCAACATAAATAGTCCAAAGCAGAGCGTTGGATAAGTCATACAATGAAAGTCTGCACTGGATTTACACTAGAACTGTAAGGATGCTCGTAATTAGATCTACATTAAAATGTCTGGTTTTTTTTTTTTTTTTTTTTTATTATATATATAATATTATTATTTTAAGCAAGTTACTGAGTTTGTTTCATGATCTTTGAGAAAGTAAAAGAATAACTAGAAAGTTTCTGGAGAAACTTTGACGGGGCGGCCATTTTAAATTTTTGATTTGACAGTACGCACCAAATTTCAGTTCAAAATGGCAAAATATTAATGAGTTTTATTAATTTTTTTCTTTTAAGCTAAGACGTCCATCTTGAATTTTTGATTTGGATTTAGTATGTGATAGGGAACGTCCTCCGCTATCACCACATCAAATTTCCGTTCTACATGTGTAAAAATAGCCACGTTAAAGCCATTTAAATGTAGCTTTGGTGGCCGTCTTGAATTTTTTTTAATTCATTATTTATTGGGCATTGATCTCAACTACCACCAAACCAAATTTCAACCTAATATCTCTAAAAATGGCTGATTTAGAGTATATTTCCTTTTTAGCTCAGGTGGCCATCTTGGATATTTAATTTGCAACCAGGGTCTATGAAAAATTACTAATAAAAATGGCATATTTTATTGCAAATTACGTCGCCATGGTAACTCGATATGCCAATAAACCCACATCATGGTGCCGAGCTGGTTGTTTTGATATAACATCTATTGGGGGACACATTACGGTTCGGGCCGCATTAAAGTTGATGGAAGAGTAAGATGTAAAGTTAAGAAACCCTTTGTCAGGTGGATAATAATAGGTGCTGCCTTACTAGGCAGTCCCCAATTAATAATTTCTCCCACTGAGGCGTCCAAACGTTGCTGTTTTGTCCAAATATCACTCAAGGTGCCCTTTCTGCTGACCCACCTGGCTGTTGCAGAATTTGAAGATTTGTCACTCGGACATTCCTGGAGATATTGGGTGGAGTCTCAACTGAATCTGACCTGAGGCCACTAGTTGTTGTTTTTTTTTTATTTTTAAACAAAATGGCAGTTTGGAAAATATAATCAACTGGCACAACATAAATTTTTCGTAGCGGGTAGCAAAGCACGGAATCGTTCAGATCTACTTTCACGTTTGGTTGAAAATGGGACTAGGTGGAACGAACGGTGCACCGGTGTCCCCCATGGCTGAGGGATCTGAATAGTGAATGTTTGTAGTTTTGGAGATGAGTGTTTTTTCTGGCCTTTAATCAAACAGGTAAAACAAGTGAATGTTTATTGTCCCCAAGGGGCAATTTGTTTCACAGTCAGTAGACGCATAAATCATCCATACTACACAACATTAAGACTTGTCACCACGGTTCAAGAAGCCTGACCTCTACAGGGATGAATGAGTTTTTCAGTCTGTTCCTCTGACATCGGGGCAGCAGACACCTGCGTCCAAATGGAAGACACCTGAACTCACCATGGAGTGGTGATCAGGATCTGCCAGAATCAGCCTGGCCTTGTTCACTGACCTCACCTTGTGTAGGTCAAATAAATCTAAATGTTTTTGGTGGAAGATATTTAAGTGTGTAGGAGTTGCACCGTGCAGAAGATCTAGTCTTTTGTTTGTTGTTGTTTTTCTTGTCTGAGGCAGCGCAGAGTGACGAATCTTGGTGAGGCGCAATGGCAAACCCAGGGGGTGACCAACGGTGGCCTTGGCCCACATAGTCCTTTGGCCACCTTAAGGGCCACCCCAATCATTTGTGTAAACTATACTTTCAAGCAGTATAAATACTAGAAAGCATAGTTTCCTCAAATGATTAGGGAAACCAGTTTACATATGTATGGTGGTGGCCATTTTGGATTTTGACGTGACAACCCAATTTTTGACAGTAGCCTTTGTTTTTAAACGTAGATGCAGCCACACACCAAAACACAAGTCGGTACGTCACTTGTTTTTCACATTACCATGCTCACAAGGGAAGGGAAGTCTGAGATTGTCATCAATGTATGTTCCCATAAAATGGTGAAATTGGTTCTCTGCATTTAACCCATCACACCTGAGATACACCCAAGTGGAGCTTTCCACATGGGTGTATCTCCCTAACCCAAAAAAGAGTTAGGATTATCTCCCTAACTCTAAATCTTGGGTTAAGGTTAGGGCTAGGGTTAGGCAGCTATGTAAGCACCCGGGGAGCAATTAGGGATTAGGTGTCTTGCTCAGAGACACCACGACATGTGGGAATGTCTAGCAGTCGAACCGAGGCTTTCTGATCCCAGGTCGAATGCCCTACCTCCACCCCATATCGACCCCAACACGCTGTGTAATTCCCAGTTTCTAGGCCTGTCGCTATAAATAATAAATCAATTAATCGCATGATAAATTAAAAGTATCAACCTCATTTTCATTTATCGGCTTTATCATTTCTTCGTGTCGCTCTCTTTCTACTGAAGACACTGGATGACAAATGGTTCAACTCTGGTGCTCGACAGTGACTCCTCCCTTTCTCTTTAAAATCTGTTTTAACCGTCCAAAATTGCGTTTTTGGATCATTAAATGTAGCTAAGCTGAGAAGCTAAGCTAACAGGCTGACCTCAGGAAAAAAAAACCTCTGTCTTGTCGAAGCTCCAAAATTCACAGTTGAAACCCATGCCTTTGTGTAAAAAGTTGTTTTTCCTCTGCAAAAAGAAGCTGAGAACTTGTTTTTCAGATTTTTTTTAATTAAAAGCTTTATGTGAAAAATGCTATGCTAAAGAGCTCAAATCAAACCGAGCGGCCGCCATTTTGAGAGCTGAAAAACAGAAACGAGAGACAGCCCATGTGACGTCAAGGGGCCTCCCTCCCAATTTTCTTAAAGAGACGCTGCTCGCTCCCTCACTATCCATCCTTCGGGTCAGACGGTCTTATACTACCATCTGGTGGTCAAAAAAAGGTACCAACATTTCTTCTTTAATTTGACAATAATTAGTAATTATTGTCAAATTTCAAACAATATTATCATTTATCGCAATAATTTCTGAGGCAATTAATCGCCTAGCAAAATTTGTTATCGTGACAGGCCTACCAGTTTCTGGGAATTCCACAGTAGGTTGGCTTGAAACACATCAATGAGGTGCTATTTATATGACAGATCTTGGTGGCAGGCCTCAGACTCATGAAGTTTTTCGGATGAAAGACGAAATCTTTCACCCATAAAGAAACTGTCCATATGACCTGATTTAACCTTTTTTGGAATTTGTGTTGGAAATGTTGTATTTTGTTTACTATTTATTGATGCATTTTAGTTGGGGTTTCAGTATATGCATATATATATATATGTGTATATACAATTTAGAATTTTTTGTTCAAGAGTACACCATGAAACTGGTAATAAAGCACATTTTTTTATGTGGATAAATCATATCAGATATTCATAAAGAGTTTGCAGTACTGTACCTGTAAATCAATACATTGTGCCTTCATGTGGAGTCAGAGTAAACATAAAGCCACTACGGAGGCTGCACTTCACCGTCAAAGCTTCAGAATAATTTATCAACCTTATTCAAGTGGAACAATGACCACGAAGGACGGATTAGTCCAGAAATCCTGTAATGGATTGGATGTGCTTGACTAGACTCTCCAAAGGAAATCCCTCAGGGTGCTGGAGGTTACATGAGGTCGCACCATGCTTCTTTGAAACTATCTTCCAGAACAAAGGTGCCCTTCGGGAGCCGAGTTCACGGCGGGAAATTCTGCATAAATTACCAGTTTCTGTTGAAACCAGCAGAATGCGTTTCAAGTTGTGTCCCGTTTAGGTACGACTCGCTTGTTGAAATGAATAGGTGTTTTTTATTCAATTGTTCCTTCATTTTTTTTTTTTTCTTGTAGAACCGCAGCTGAAGGGCATCGTGACCAGGTTGTTCTGCAGGCAGGGCTTTTATCTCCAGATGGGCCAGGATGGAAGTCTGGATGGGACCAAAGATGACAGCACCAACTCCTGTAAGGAAAATGACGCTACACGACAGGATACAACACTTCTTTTTCTTTTGACTGTTCCCTGTTCAGGGTCTCCAAAGCAAATCCTCCTCCATCTGTCCTCTGCATCCTCTGCCCTCACTCCAACCTCCATGTTCTCTCTAACTGCATCCATATATCTCCTCTTTGTCTTTTTCCTGGCAGCTGCATTTCTAACATCCTTCTACCAATATATCCATTGTCCCTCCTCTGGACATGTCCAGTCCACTGTCTCTCCTCTGGATGTGTCCAGACCACTGTCCCTCCTCTGAACATGTCCAAGCCACTGTCTCTCTGTAGGAGTTGTGGTTTTTCCCTGGTGTCATGTTTATGTCTGTGTTCCCCCGATCCTCTGTTTCTCTTTAAGCACTTTGATAACAGTCTATCTGTTTTAAATTGTGCTCTATAAATAAATATGACTTGACTTGACTTTATAGGGTTTGTGTTTCTTTAGTATCTACCCCATCTTGTATCGTGTTTGTCTTGCATCCTCTGTCTCTTTCTTTGGCATCTGTGATTACTCACAGATGTCATCACTTGGTCTAATTGGTGTTTCCAGTATATAAGTCTGTGTCTCTGTGTTAGTCCTTATCCTGGCATTGTTATCTATCCACTGGTGATGCCCTGTCCTGTTCCTTGTGATGCCTAGTCTGCTCCTCGTGTTCATCTCCTGGTTTATGCAAGTCTGCTGCCCCATCAGCTCTTTTGTTTTGTAAAATAAATTCCTTATTTCATATTATCTTGAGTCCTTGCCTGCCTGCCTGCACCATTGGGTTCACCAGCACCAGCCAATTGTGACACTGTCCTCTGGACATGTCCAAACCATCTCAGTCTAGCCTCTCTAACTTTATATCCCAGTTGTTCAACCTGTGCTGTACTTCTGATGATCTCATTCCTAATCTTATCCATCCTTGTCACTCCTAAGGAGAACCTCAACATCTTCATTTCTGCCACTTCCAGTTCTGTCTCCTGTCTTTTTGTCCATGTCTCTGTCTCCAAACCATACAACATAGCTGCTCTCACCACTGTCTTTCCTGGACAGTGGACTTCAAATTCTTGAAGTCCTGCACCTTTGTGACCTCTGCTCCTTGTAGCCTCATTGTTCCACCGGCCCTCTCATTCACACACATGCACTCTGTCTTACTACAGCTGACTTTCATTCCTCTTCTTTCAAGTGCATACCTCCACCTCTCTGAGCTCTCTTTCACATGTTACCTGTTATTACCACAGATCACAATGTCATCTGCAAACATCGTAATTCACAGAGATTAACATGAGTGGTGCATTTCGCTGATAGACCACATGAAATGAGGTGTAGACCCCTCTCACCTAGCTTAATCTGCACCTGGATACTTGCTAGTTTCTTAATAGGTCTTAATACTTAATAGGTCTCATAGAGGAAACCAAGTAGAGAGCTTTCTTTTCTAGATGTAGATTACCTTACAGACCACAAAGCTCAGACCAATAATTAAGACATTTAGGTCACCTCAACAATTTTTTTTAAAGCTTTTATGCTGTTTGCTTACACATGAGAGTCAATTAAGGGTCATAGTCAACTAGAATACAAAGCAACAAACAGAATTAGAATCAATAAAAGCACAAACGTCCAACTCAAGACTCATTGGTTTCTTTTGTTTTCCTTTTGGGCTTCTGTAGTTGCGTTGTTGAGCAACTTGTTGGAGTATAGGACTGAGGATCCACCACGTTTATAGATTAAATTATCAGTAATCTTTTCTGTATCTCAGGCATTCTGGACAAAAAAATGTCTGTAAATATGTCTGTCTAATAAAATTTATGATGTGGATTTGGTCCAACAATGGCTTCTGGTTCAATCCATCCATCGATGGTCGGGTCATGGCGTTATATGGAGTCCCTCCGGAGAGTTCTGTGTCTCTCAATTTCAATAAAGTTAGGACATCTCAAGTCTTAAGAACTCATATTTTGTTCACAGTAATCATTTCAAATGGCTAAACTAAGAAACTGGACTATTTTTAGGGGGGACCAGCAGCTTGTGCCATTGACTATATTTGTACATAAAGGACATACAGTATATAAGATATAAAATGGTCTTTCAAGATAGTGAACACAAAAAGAGGCCTTTTTCGAAAATACCAGTCCAAGGTTGCTGGACGATTCAAGTCCATCAGCTGTCGGTTCCTTTACCGTCACTGTTCTGCTCTTTAGACCCGACCCGGTGGAGCTGAGAGCTCGACTGTATCTTTAAAAACTAAACGAGAAGTGACTGATAATTAAATGTCTAAAGATCAGTCCGGCTGAACCTTTCTTAAGGTTCTGATCCGAGGATTTTGGTTCTTATCACTCAAACTTCTGCACAATTTACCCGTTTGGTTAATGTATCTAAAGACTAATACTTTCATACCAGAATATTGTCATTTAGTAGGAAAAACAAACGATTTTTATACAATTCCCAGTGCATAAAAATAGTATAATTAATTAATTAATTGTTAAAAACTTGTCCAAACCATCTTAAAAAAATTTCCAGGGTAAAATCAGCCTAGAAGTGAAAGCTTAGATTTCTAAAACCAGATTTAGAGATTGAAATATGAACATAAAGCTGAGATTTGCAGGAAATCATACAGACTACCCATTTTGGTTAATCAAACACGATGAGATCTTTGATTTTCCAGCATTTTTTGCATCCTACTGAGCTGACCCACCTCCCATGATGCTATAATCAGACTATTTGTGGAGTTTGATTGACTTTATTATTACAAACAGGACTTTGTCTCTACCTTTTACGTTGTTTACGTGGTATATTAGGTTTGTGTCTGATATATTTTCAGTGGTTTGTTTGTTATATTTTCTAAGTGGGATTTTAGAAGTGAACTCACAAAAGATGTCATGGGGAGAAAATCAGCCACACATTCATTTTTGTTTGCGGTTTTTATTTATTTATTTTGATGATGTCAGTAAACAATTGTTCCTGATTAAGTCTAAACAATTTTCTTTTTAATTTTGTCAGAATTTCTTAAATGCTTCTTTAACGTCATAGTGGCATTACTGCCCTCTAGTGTTCCTTAGGGGGGGAAAACCGACCATAGGGAAATCCCATTATAAATGCATTTTCTAATCCCATAATTACCATATCAGAAAATAATGTGTTCCTTTTAATATATATATATATTTTTTTATTTTACGTCTCTCTCCAAACTTTTAATTTTAAATTAGCTCACTCTGTGGTGCTTTGCGTTTTACACTTGATAGTGTCTTAAAATTTACCGGGACAGACTTGAACGTACCCTGAAAGAGGTTCGTCTTTTCCAGCTGGATGTCGCTGCAGAGTCCATCTCTCATCTCGTGCGACAAAACCGTTTTAGTTTGGATGTAAAGAGCAAAAACGCACATGTGTGTTGCTCACGTAAACATGAAGTACAAAAAAAAGCAGTTCCGCATGCATGCAGGCTGCGGAATCGGATGCTCCACAGTTCAGAATGGCCACTCCCGTCGGCTCGACTGAAATCAGGACATTAATAGCAAATGCACAAGCTAGTATAACCAGGCAGAAACAAAGTAGAAACTGAAGTAGTTTTAGAATAATTATATATATATATTTATTTATTTTAAACCCTCTATATCAGACCATCGAGCCACACGTTTAAGGTTCAAGGGAGATAGTGTTATTTTCAGCTGCTTGGTTTGAAGTGTCCTGTGGGCCGGATGGTTTTCACAAAACTCTGGACTGGACTTTCCAATAATAAAATGTAAAAATGTATTTGTTAAAGTGTACTAATGGGGGGAAATGCCTTTATCTTTTCTCAAATTGCCATTAAGTAAATATTTTGTCACTTGTTAATAAAACAGAGATGTTTTTTCACTAAAGTTCAGTATTTTTATTTCAAGCTTGCATAGCTCTAAAAGAATGACTGGTTGTGGAAAGTAGTATTAAAAAGCAGTCGTTCCAAGCTGTTTCGTAAGATGGAAGGAACACTAATGGTCATAAAGTTAAAGGACGACACAAAGGCTTTTTGATTCACAGTTTAACCTTCAGAGCTTCGTTCTTCAGGAAGAACCCAAACAAATCATCTCGGTCTGTCTTCTTCTTTGTCCTCAGCTCTGTTTAACCTAATTCCTGTGGGTCTGAGAGTCGTGGCCATCCAGTCGGTCAAGACTGGCCTCTACATCGCCATGAACGGAGAGGGTCATCTCTACTCCTCGGTGAGCAGAAACACTTATCAGAGGGTGGTAAAGACGGCGTCCATGGGACGGTTTGTTTGGATGCTGCTGGTCTTTGTGATGCACTGTAGTCCCTTTTGGGACTTTTATTAGAGACAAATGGAAGTAGGAGTCTGGCTTTATCCCCAGTTGGTTTGGAGGGATACATCAGCTGTGATTAAGGCCGTGGAAGGACTTTTTGAAACTTGCTTTGCTTCCAAGTAGCATCTAATTTGTAAAGTTTCCAAGGAAGGTCGTCGACTAATGGTTGTTCCATTTAGACTTTTCTGTTGTGTTAATATTTCCTCTATTTGATTTGTGCTGCGTAAAGCCTCGGACATGACGCGGTGGTTTCAATCTGAATAACTACGATTCTGCTAAATTAACTGATTATCAAAACTAAAGGTTACATTATTTGACTAAAAGTTTAATAAAACATTCCTTGAAGAGAAACAGATATATATATATATATATATATTTAGCTATGTCCTCATGACATCGCAAGAATAAGCTTGTAAGAACCAAATCCAGGTCCCTAAGACTTACGGTCTGACAAACGATCACTTTCTATGTTCAGATTGCCATGGTTACTGAAGTATTATGTATTAATATGCAAAAATTATTTAGTTTTATTGACAAAGCTGCAGCTGATGAATCCTAACAACCAGTTAAAATACCCAGTAAATATTTTATACGTATAACAATCTACGTAAGTACATCCCGTCATAACTCCTGATCTGCTCGAGATAATTTAACGAAGCTTCAAACACGAGTGCGTCATCACTAGACGGTGTGTCTTCTACACATTTTGTCTCCCCAGCTTCAAGGTCAAGGTCACAAATCAAGGTCAAATTCAAAACAAGGACTCTACTTGTCCGGATCATTGCTATAGATTGCCTTATAATAGATAGCGGACGGGCGTATGTTGTACTTTTGTTGTTTTTACTGAGAAAACCATAGAAGTCGGAGCACGCAGTGCGCAGCATTGTTTTGTTGCGAATTAAAAAAAAGCACCTTTTCATTTAGTTTTCTTTAGAGAATTCGATAGTTCGCAAAATGAAAAATAGAATGAGAGAGATGAATTGCTTCAAAGAGATGCCGGTTATACAAGTCCGTGTGAATAAGTGACAAGTAAGACACTCAGTCTGAGGGAATACTTTTATTATTTACTTTTATATTTTGTCTCTGTCTTCTCACCAAGCACAAACAACTGTGAAAATGACAACAAAAAAGATTAAAATTAAAGGCAAGACCGTCGCAACGAACATAGTCATGAGTGGAAGAAGAAGTGAGAGGGAGGGAGCGACATGAAACAAATGACTGGACCTTTGAGGTGAAGAGGAGAAGAGAAGGAAGGTGAGGAAGAGGAGGGGTGTTGTTGAGACGACGGAGCAGAATATGAATTATTTCCATTCTGACTCGTCGGAGAGAGTTCACGCTCATCCGCCGATGTCCCTTCTTCCTGCGTCAACCCTCCTTCCTCCCCCTTCCTTTTTTTCAGGCTGGCGATGACGAGAAGGGACGGGGGAGGAAAGGGTAGACGGTAGAGGAGGTTAACGGAGCGAACTAAAGGTGAGACGAGGTAGAGTTGGACAATCGACAGAAACGATAAAGAAGCGTAAGCGCGGTGGAAGAAACAGGAAGTGACGGCGATGAGAGGAAGAGAAAGTCCTAATTGGGGAAAAGGAGGAACAACGGCGCCCTGCTGAAAGTCACAGATGTGGGCTTCCTGTAAATAATTTAGGAGCTGGAGTCACCCTTACGCTCACAGCCGAAATCCCCTCCAAAGCTGCGCGGAGAGGAAAGTGAGGCCGTTTGATCCCGCTCCAGCTCGAGGACTGATGTGCCGGCAGCTCCGCGATAACCAATGTATAAATCATCAACAGCAGGTCTAATGTATCCCGATGTCAGCTCTGCTTGATGTTTAATTGGCTGCTGCAAAGGTCCTGGCAGGTACGGCTTGTGTCGCCAGCCTGTGGAGGTGCTCATTAAACGCTACGCCACTTCGTCGTCTCCTGGTCTGAGCCTGGCGCTCTCGTCTTCTTGCGCTCACAGTAACTGAACTGCTTGTTTACACGACACGATCTGGACACGTTGTTTTTTTTGTTTGTTTTTTTTCTCCTCCCGAGCTCGGTGGGGTGTAGCCGACAGGACGTCGATACAAATCAGACTCCTGCGCCTTTTTTTTTTTTTTTTTACTTCAGAGAAACGCGGTGCACTTGTCAGCAGTCTTTTCTGGAACACGACGGAGATAGACTGCTGGTACGACGCGTTTCTCCTTTCGGAAAATAAAAACACAAAGCAACGTGGATAGTAGCAAACGTCAGCGCATCTCCTTGCTATATCTCCCTTTTTTTTATTTGTGTTTCCAGCTGCAGGTTTTTATTCAGGGCCCCAGACTAACATAGCTCTCGTTCTTATACTCCCATTGAAAGATCGACGTATTATGGTATCCACCCGTAAACTTTCTCTTGTCCTGCCCGTAACTTCTAATCTTCTAAAGATAATTTAACGAAACTTCGTACACTTATGCATCACCACTAGACGGAGTGTCTCTTGCACCTTCGTCTCCCCAGCTCCTAGGTCAAGGTCACAAATCAAGGTCAAAGCCTTTAAGAGGTCTTTGCTCTTTCGCTATAGATTGCTGTATACATCAAAGTTCATGCTCAATCATCCAGGTACAAAATCCAGTAATAGTCAGGTCATCTGAACAGTGGAAAGACGTTTCGCCCTCTATCCGGAGGGCTTCATCAGTCTGAGGAGTCCAAAGTAAACTGTTTTCCCCACTAAGCAGCACACTCCTTTAGTAGTTGGTCCACACTGATGAAGCCCTCCGGATAGAGGGCGAAATGTCTTTCCACAAAAAATTAATTGTCCAGATGACCTGACTGACCATTACTGGATTGCTGTACACGTTTGTCGAAGGTATAGAATGCGCCGTATGCTCTTATTTTGTTCGGTGCACCCACATTTTTCACATTCTTCTTGACCACCACTGTAAAGGTCACTTTTTTTGTAATTTCCCTTTGTGACAATATTAATTAATGTTAATTTTTTCACACGCAAATGGCGTTTATTTTACTATATTTACATTAACGGAGATAACTGATCTTAAATCTTTTAAGTTAAATAGTTTAAATCCTTGTGCAGGATTGTTTAAATGAGAACAAATGAAGTTCAAAAGTAACGTTCAAAATAAATGTTCATAATTATTAGAAATAGGAACATTTAAAAGAAATGTATGACAGTTTTGACAAAGAATTGTGACTTTTTATGTTTTTGACGTCTTGAATGTACAAATTTAAGTACTGCAGGCAGAAATATATTGTTAAAATACAGAATATAAATTTATCTTCACCTAATTAGCACTCAAGGAAGAACCAGTGGAATATATACGGCTGTAAGAGTGAGGAGGGTTGAAGTTGTGCATCAGACCGTGTCAATCATTATAAATAGGCTGTCAGACTGAGAAGCTCCTATTCGGACTCAGTTGAACCCTTGCAGTGAATTGGTGCATCAACTCATTTTGTACAATTACCTAGGCCTGTCGCAATAAACAATAAATCAATTAATAGCATGATGAATAAAAATTATCGACCTCATTTTCATTTACCGTCTTTATCCTTTCTTCGTGTCTCTCTCTTTCTACTGAAGACACTGGATGACAAAAAGCTCAACTCCGGTGCTCTTCAACCAACCAACCAAAAATACTTTAATAATCCCAAAGGGAAATTATTTGTTGTTCACTGACCCCTCCCTTTCTTTTTTCTCTTTAAAATCCATTTTAACTGTCCAAAATCGCGTTTTTGAAGTGTTAAAAGCAGCTAAGCTGAGAAGCTAAACTGCAAGCTAAGCTAACAGGCCAACCTCGGGGAAAAACCTCCGACTTGTCGAAGCTCAAAAATTCACGGTTGAAACCCGTGCCTTCATCTAAAAAGAGACAGCCCATGTCATGTCAAGGGGCCTCCCTCCCATTTTTCTTAAAGAGACACGCTGCTCACTCCCTCACTTTCCATCCTTTGGTTCAAACAGTCTTATACTGCCATCCAGTGGTAAAAAAAAACATACTACACTCAAAACAAATTAACCAACATTTCTTCTTAAATTTGACAATAATTACTAATTATTGTCATATTTCAAACAATATTATCGTTTATCACAATAATTTCTGAGACAATTAATCGCCCAGCAAAATTTGTTATCGTGACAGGCCTACAATTACCACCACTTTGGGCCACAACTGATGGTCACCATTTTACCTTGTTGCATACGTTATGTTCACCTGAACTTGAGCTACGGCAGTTCGGGCTTAGATGTGCTGTTTTCTGACAATGAAAGGCCGTGGAGTTGGGATATATATTAATATAATATATATATTGTCAATGGAGGGGGACGGAGACACGTCTGTTGCACGCTGTTTGTACAGACAGTTTTCGAGTGGGGTAGGGGTGGCGGCTCACCTTGAGAGAAATGGAGTGCCCTCTGTAGCTTGTTAGCTATCGCATTTGTATTCCACGCCGCTAGTACAGGCGTGGTAGATGGCATAATTTCCCATTGACTGGACTTACATAGCACTAACGTAACTACGCAAGTCACGCTTGCTAGCTCGCAACCAGTGCTCGCAACCTGTGCTCGCAACAAAACTCACTCGAGCTCGCTAAGCTAAGCTAAAATAAAAAAGATTAGGGATAAAGGTTGAAATAGTTGCGCCAGTGAAACCAAGAAGAAAATTTAGTTGTACAAGACAAAAATTTGGGTGCAAGCATGACCAATTTGGTGGCCATATTGCATACTTTAATTAGCTGGGAAGCATTAGATTTTTCCAAAAAACCTGAAGTAAAACAAGCTATAGGAGAAATCACCATCCTTGCATATCATGAGTAATCACAACTGATATCACAGTTGCTCATTTTTCTAATAATATTCAAACCATTAAATACTTTTTTGCAGATCCTAATTGGAAAGTCTACGATTATATTTGAACGTAGCTCAGTGAAATTGGT